AGAGAGAGAGAGAGAGAGAGAGAGAGAGAGAGAGAGAGAGAGCATGGGAAGATACATGGATACGAAAGAGTTGGAAATACAAAAAAAAATGGTGGTGTATATTCCCATGTTGTACCGGCAGATTCATTCATTTCCTGTTGGGATCGGGATCGCATATAGGTGCGCCGCATGCCAAATGAGAATGAATCTACCCCTAGAACATGGGAAGATACACCTCGATTTCTCTCTTTCTCTTTGTCTCTCTCTCACACACACACACACACACACACTCACTCACACACAGACAAAGGGACACGCACACACACACACACACACTTTCACACACACACTTTCACACACACACATGCACACACACAAAGGTAGGAGGCCTTAGAGGAGTGGTCAGGGACCAGGAAGGAGACAAACCCAGTGTGAGGCGGCCAACCACGAGTGACCTTCTCGAATTCAAACACCCCTGGGGCCTGGGTATTCGGCGATGTTGTCCGTGGTGAGGGAGGGCAAACAGGGTAAAACAGGGTGCAGGCCAAGGCCCTGTGACGAAGCACTTTCTGTAACGCGCGACTTTCTGCGCGGTTGCAACGCGGGATCCTAAGCTGGGAAGGTTGGGCCAATTACGGGAGACCGGGATCAGTGGAAAATTGCATCAGTACCCTTGCTTTTTCGTCTTTTTCGTCGCTTCTTTTCATGTGGCTGGGTTCGGAGCTGGGTGTGTCCTGGGATGGCCGGTTGGTTGATTGGTCGGCTGGATGGCTGACGCTCCTCTACGCGCGCGATTAATAAATGGTGATGTCGTGTCTTTCGCTTCAGTTTCAATCTTTTGGGCGCAGACATCGTGCGGGAAATTGCCATGTTCTTTTTGAATTTTTCTTTCGAATCTTTTTCGAATTTTGTCGAGCCCTGATGGCTCTCGGAATTTCGGACTTTCTTCCCGGAACCTGTACTTTTGCTTTTCGTATTAGTTAGGAATTTATGAATTTTGTAAGTAGGACTTTCTTTTGCTGCGCGGTGCCCTTTTTTGCGTACGCGCTTCTTTTTGCGGCTGCAACGAAATTCTGATTAGTCGGCACCTTTAATCGTGTGCATAACTGTAATTTCGGGTGGGCGCCATTGTAACTGTATCTTCTTTCTTGCACCTCATCTTTCCCGCCCTCCTTCTTTTTCTTTGCTGCGTTTTTGAAACTACGCACTGCATGCTCAGATTGATGCATGGAGAGTGGCTACGTCCCCCACGCCGCGGCCTGGTCATGCAGAACGTAGGCACTCTCTCTCTAATCCCCCCTCTAAGTCTTGGTAATTCCGTGTTCCTCGCGCATGCATGCACGCTATAAATTCCGGATGCGCGATTAGTTAGCTCTCTTCATTAGTTGTTGGAAGCTTGGGGTTGCACGATCAGGAAGGGTCGGCACACGAGCGAAGTAAGAGGTGAGTAGAGCAGGAGTCGGGCGACCCGACGAGCTGGTGCCAAACGCGCAGGGTTGATGCAGGCCACGACGGACTGTGGGCGCGGGCGAACCTGACGGGTGCGGGAGGACTAAGCGGGGTGACGACTTCGTGGGTTGGTGCGTGACGACGGACTGTCCGCATTGGAGAAGAGAGAGAGAGAGAGAGAGAGAGAGAGAGAGAGAGAG